GTCTGTGGATGCTTCATCTTCGAGCACAGTGTCAGCAGCAGCAATAGCGGCTGCTAGTGCAAGCTGTGCTTACCCTTCACAACAGAGAATCCCCAGAAGTCTGGCTAGGCATGCTGGACCGGTAGCCAGAGACGGGTAAGTGTCCGATACGGCTTCACCAACCTAAGACAGGCGCCACGTTCCTAGCCACGTGGTTAGCCCATGACAGGTAAGGGGAGCCCGAACTCGAAACACCTAAAACAGGCACGGTCCCTTGCTTAATAAAACAAAAAGGGGGAGCTGTTGGGGGCACTGACAATTTCCTGCCCTGTGATTGGCCCTTTGCCCTGATTGGTGTGCCTTGGTTATCTTTAAGCTGATTGGACAGGTTTGACAGATAAGTGGGGGGGCGTCGCGGGGGAGGGGCTTCAGCATAATGGAATTAACGGACATAACGGTTTTTAATGGAAGATCGGAATAAAGAGCCTCAGAGACTCTCTCAAGTGTCGGGTGATCTCTTCCACGGGACGGGAGACGCCATACTCGCCTTGAATGGGCCAGGATCCCATATGAGTGCCGGTTCTAATCGCAGCAGCTCCACTTCCCATCTGGCTCCCTGCCTGTGTCCTGGGAAAGCAGTCCAGGACAGCCAAAGCCTTGGGACCCTGCACCCGTGTGGGAGACCTGGAAAGAAGTTCCTGGTTCCTGGCTTGGGATCGGTGCAGTGAATCATCGGACGGAAGATCTTCTGTGTCTCTCCTCTCTGTACATCTGCCTTTCCAATAAAATACATAAATCTTTGGAAAAAAAGTTGTTATCATGCAAAAAAAAAAATTAGAACCTACTAGCATTTCTTTTTTTAGAAAAACGATTTATTTTTACTGAAAGATTTACAGAGAGAAGGAAAACGAGAGATAAAAACGTTCAGTCCAGAGCTGAGCCTGTCTGAAACCAGGAGCCAGGAGTCTCTTCCAGGTCTCACATATGTAGGGTTCCAAGGCTTTGGGTCATCCTCGACTGCTTTCCCAGGCCACAAACAGGGAGCTGGACAGGAGGCAAAGCAGCAGGGACACAAACCAGTGTCCATACGGAATTCCAGTATGTGCAAGGCAAGACTTAGCCACTGAGCCATCGCACTGAGCCTCTCAGTTCATCAGCCAAGAGCCTCTTCCAGGTCTCAAGGCAGGTGCAGGAGCCCAAGCACTTGGGCCATCTTCTGTATCCGTTCCAGGCATACTGCAGAAATGAGGACTGGAAGTGGACCAGCTGGGATGCTAACTGCCATTGGCATTGCAGAGAATGACTCAAGGCCTTTTGCCACCACGCCTTCCCTTATGGGACTTTCACTGGCAAGAATATTCTTTTCTATCTGTACTAAGTCTATGTCAAGTGTATTAACATTGAAAAATATTATCTAATTGTTTATATATTACTTACATAAAGTCATGCTTATTACTTTTTGTGTATTAATACCTAATCCATCCAAATATTTACAATCACAATATTTTTAAGCATTTACTCAAAAGATTAATTTCAGACTTCTAATTTCAATTAGAAGAGAGAAAAACGTTGTTCAAAACTCAATCAGCACTTACAGAACTGCAAAAGAGACTTGTAACTAATCTCAATTTTTCTCTTTGAACTTGTTTCTTCTGGCAAAAAAGTGAAGTTTCCCTCCTCACAGTGCCTGAAATCGCGCAAAGGTTTGTTAGCAAATGACTTCATTTCTATTTATTTACTTGAGAGTCAGAGACAGGGCCAGAGTCTCCCTGGTCCACTCCCCAGATGCCTGTAATGGCAAAAGTTGGGTCGGGCCAAAGCCAGAAGCAGGAATTCAATCCACGTCTCCCACCAGGGTGCCAAGAACCCGAACACTTGGACCATCAGTCCTACTTCCAGGTGTGCACTAACAGGAAGCTGAAGTCAGGAGCAGAGCTAAGTATCAAACACAGGCGAGCCAAGAACGCAGGCAGCTTAACCCACATCTTCACCTCTAGGTCAAAGGTGCACCCTGGTGGGTGCAGTTCTACCAGGAAATCAGACGGTCATATTTTATAAAATGATTATAATGCAGGCCTTTCCAAGTAGACGAGACTTTCCTTACAATCAAACTCTGGGAATTACACCAAGCATGTGCAAAGATCAACCAGTCTTTATTTCTGGCAATCTTAACATCTCAGAAGCCACACGGAGGCTGAGGTGCTTTGCCTAGCAGTGAAGACACTGATTAAATACCTGTGTCCTGCACCAGACCACGGGCTCTGACGCTCCTCTGGCTTCACAGCAGCCTCCCACTGACGCAGACCTCGGCAGCAAAGGTCCCCGCCACGCACTCACCTGGACTGAGTCCCCTGACCTAGGTTTCAGCCCTGTGAGGGTCACTGCCAGCTTTTAGGAAATAACCAGCAACTGATAGCACACGCTCTCTTTTTCTCTCTATTCCTGAGTGCTTTAGTTCATTGTATATATAAATACCCAATTTTACAGCTATTAAAACCTTTTCTTCATCAAAGATCCAGGCTTAAGTCTGTTTTTGAAAATGCTGCTCTTAGTGGGGCATAGTTAGGTTCCAATGAATGTATGGGCACTAATCCCACTTATTGATTTTTTGAAACTACATAACTTTTTCGTGAGTCATTACGACCCTCTATATTGCCAACAATCAGCCAAGGCAGTAAAACCACAATTATCTGTGACTTGCTCTTCTCACCCCTCATTATTAATGCAAGGATTCACAAAGATTACTATCTTTTTGAAATGTTTATACTATCTTTTTAAAAGATTTATTTATTTTTATTGGAAAGTCAGATTTACAGTGAGAAGGACAGACAGAGGAAGATCTTCCATCGGCTGGCTCACTCCCCAAGTGGCCACAACAACTAGAGCTGAGCTGATCTGAAGCCAGGAGCTTCTTCAGGATCTCCCACATGGGTACAGGGACCCAAGGCTTTGGGCCATCCTCTATGTCTTTCCAGGCCATAAGCAGGGAGCTGGAAGTGGAACAGCTGGGATACAAAACGGCATACATAAGGGATCCCAGTGCTTGCAAGGAAAGGACTTTAGCCACTATGCTACTGCGTCAGGCCCCAAAGTGTTTATACTCTTAATTATCAAAACATACAAAGCTATTCAAATGTTCGTTCCAAAATATGTCTTTTCTCTGCCCTACCGTATAGTTCCTGCTCACCTTCCACATGGAGTACTGCACAGTCACAACCTAAAGCCATGACTCTTCTCAGTCCCTTCCCTTCAACCTGTCACTGCCTCTAATGATTAATCCTACTTTACCAGGTCATTCTTTGACTAAGAATGCTTCTAATGGTTGTCTCCTCCATGTCATATTGAAAATCCTTGATTTAGTTTCCAAGATCCTTCATCAACTACCTTCCTGTAACCCGACATCCTATTATTCAGCTTTACCACATACCCTATTGAGGTCAATGTCACGAATAGAGCAACATCAAATGCTTACTGGGTATGCACCAGATTGTAGGAGGACACTGTGACGCTAGAGGGTCAGCGAGCAGGATTACAGTTGATTGGAACAACCGAATGGCCGCCTTTTGTACACCTGATTGGGATATCATTTGAATGAGAACAGTTGAGTGACAGCATGTGTGTGAGAACACTTGGTGGAATATACAAAACAAAAGGAGTTCCAAACAAAAGCATGGAAACCGTTACTGGGTACTGACACCAGATGAGCAATCACAGATAATTCTGTATGTTGATTTCCTGTTCTCCAAACTGTTGATAAACTGAGCAAACTGTCAAATACATACCAGGTAAAAAAAGATGAGATTTTACTCTTTATGTTCCATCTTGCTATTATATTGTGTTCTGTTCCCCAACTAAACACTCAATTTGGTCTATCCTTTGCTTTTTTATAGTTGCTATCTCTCTAATTCAGCTTTTGTCGGGCTTTACAATCTTTCAAAACACAAGATTCCAGAAGGCACCAGAGAGAGACTCCATCTTCGTGATATGCCTACTAGCCAAAACTCATTGAGCTTGATCTTCTACAGTCTACCTTCCAAAAACAATTCTTTTCTTCAACTTCAAATATAAAACTTCATTATAATACTGAGTCAACCAGGCCAGTCTCCCCCCCAATTCTTACTGCAGCTAGCTCTGGACCCAATCAGGGATTCTTGCCTACTGTGGGGGGTCAAGACCAAGTTTGAGAATCTGACGAAGCTTATGGACAAACCACTTCCCCGGAAAAATTCACAAGCACATGAAATTCTGGACACAATTTCATAAGAGTTATGAACGCTGACGCCCAATCATCTATTATTGGAAATAGAGTACAGCCCAATCATCCATCCAGGTTAAAAATCCGCTAAAAATAAGTTTTCCAAGAGTGGGGATTATTGTACTTGCGGATTACGCCCTGTACAGTACAACATACACAAAAGCTATGTAGAAATATTTGCTAATTAATAAGTTCTTCATAAACATAATGAGACAACTGGCAGTCTTTTCTTCCATAGTAACACTAATGAGCTAATATCAACAACCCAAAAATCCTGACTCTGCCATTCACGTGTGGACTATCCGCTCATTCCCTAACCCGGATCTTCTCCCCGCGGTCCCCCTGCCCACTTCAAAATCAGGGCTGCCTCCTGAGCGCCCCAACAGTCGCACCCAGAACCTCACTAGATCCAGGCAGGCAAAAAACAACTGATGCTCCAAAGGCACACCCCTCCTAGGCAGTAAGGCGGCACCCAGCGACGGCCACTGCTTTCAAAGCCGTCCCTCACCCCATCCAGAGCGGAAGGGATTTACCTCAGGCTGCAGGAGAGAGGAGGCGATGGCCTTCACAGAGCTGGGACCAGTTGCCAAGAAGCCTCCCGACCTCCCCGTCACCATAGCGACTTCCAAGAGCCACAGAGCCTCCCTCTTCTCGCGATACTTCGCGGCTGGCGTCATCCGAGCGGGCCTCGAAGCCCGCTCCTCAAAGCCCGCCCTCTCCTGCAGGGGACCTGTGGCCTGAGCCCCGCCCCCGCCGCGGGCCGCACCGTAACCCGTGTCTTTTTCCTGCCTCACAAAACTCAAGCAATTTGTTGAAAAAGCTTCCAGAACGTTGCCACTGCCGCAGACCACAGAGAAAACATTCCTTCGCTTTCCTTCGTGGAGTAGCAGAGACGTCCCCTCCCACCCGAGTCCGGCGGGGCGCGCACGCATGCGCGTGAGCCACCCGAAGATGGCGGGGGGGGGGGGGAACGGCCGCACTTTTTTTTTTTTTTTCAAATTGGGGGTTCCCAGAATCCACTGCGCGCGTTTGTAACGAATTTCCGTTCGAGTTTGTATTTTAGGCGCCATTTTCGAGTGAAGGACCCGGAGCCGAGGCAGCGGTAGGAGCGGAGTGTGTGTGTGTGGTGTGTGCGCGGCGGGGTGACGGGCGGGAGGCCTGCTCGCCGTCCGCAGCCCGGGGCGAGGCGGGCCGCCCCTCGGCCGAGGGCTCGTCCTTCTCCCGGCGCGGCTGTCAGCCCGGCACTTCCTGTCCGGCCGCGGGCGCCTGAGGGGAGCGGCGGCGCCGGGGCTGCGGCTGTCAGCCTCCGGGACGCCGGGCTGTCAGGGAGGGCCCCGCGCGGCGGGAGGACGGTGCAGCGCGGGGCGGACGGAGCCGACGGCCGGGAGCCCTGCGTCCCGGGTCGCCTGACGCGCCGCCCGCCCTCCCCGCCGCAGCCACCATGCCGCGCAGAGGCACCCAGCCCTCCACCGCCCGGAGCCGCGACGGCGGGCCGGCCGCCCTGGACGGCAGCGACGCGGAGCCCGAGAGCCCGGCCGCGGACGCAGGTGAGCCCGCGGGGAAGGCGCGGTGGTCGGCCCCGGCCGAGCCGGGCCGCTCCCAGGTTGCTGTTCCACAAGCCGGGGGCGCTTGCCCAGTGCTGCGCCCGTGGCTCCTGGCGCCCGTGGCCCCTGGCGGGCCCCGTGACGGGTCGCGGACACTTGTCGAGGTCCCCGCGTGGTGACCCGGGCGCCCCGATCGCGCTGCTCGTGGGGATGGGGAGCGGGGTTTGCACAGGCTCCTGGGCGTCTAGACGGGGTACTCGGTGGTGCAGGTGCTTCTTTGCAGTAAAACAAAGCTGAAAGTATTTTAGCATCCTGCTGTGTCCCCGTAGGAGGAATAAATGCGTAGTTTTCACAAGCGATGTCCTGCTTCCCGTCCCTTTTTGTTACTGGGCCAGCAAGCAGTAGTCCGCTCTGGGCGAGCTAACGCCCCTTCCCCTGTGCCCCTTGCTCCCCCAGAGGCGCCGGGCGAGGAGGTGGACAGCAGGAGCCTGGCCGAGATTCTGAGCAGCATTCCTCCTCCCCCGCCCCCGGCCATGGCCAGCGAGGCCGGCGCGCCGCGGCTCATGATCACGCACATCGTCAACCAGAACTTCAAATCCTACGCCGGGGAGAAAGTGCTGGGACCTTTCCACAAGGTAGATAACTGCTGCCAGGGCATGCATCTTCATCCAGATGCTTCGCTGTTAGTCTCGCGATTCGCTCGTAGAAACACCAGTCATGTCTCCTAGGGTTTTAACAGACGTCTCCGATGATGGCAAGTTTGTCTTGGTCTGGTTTTCTTTGGTCCCTCTAGAAGTTTTCCTCACTGGATGGAGTAAATATTTTTGCTTGAAGAGAATGTTTTCCTCTTAACTGTTGCAGACGGTGTTGTGAAAGAACTGGGACGTGATTTTATTTAAGGTGTTGACGCTTATGAGGAGAACAAAATGTTAGAAAATGTCTTCCAGCAATGAAAACTTGTACAGCAAATAGAAACTAAAAATGATTTCAGTCGGTGGTTATTAGTACGACCTCTTCAATTTCTTTTCTTTTTTTATGCAGCGTTTTTCCTGCATTATTGGGCCAAATGGCAGTGGCAAATCCAACGTTATTGATTCTATGCTTTTTGTGTTTGGTTATCGAGCACAAAAAATCAGATCTAAAAAACTCTCGGTACTTATACATAATTCTGATGAACACAAGGATATACAGAGTTGTACTGTAGAAGTTCATTTTCAAAAGATAATTGATAAGGTAAGGGCTTTCTGCTTGGTTCTTTGAACTTCAAGTGATTTTTGCACTGTTTGAACAAAGCTTTTCAGCAGTTTCAGGGACCTGTGTGCTAAGTGGGCCTTCTTTAAGAATGCTATAAATTTGGGCTTAAATTTGTAAAGTTATGTCTTTAATTGTTTCGGGTAAACTTGCTCAGCTTGGAGGTCCTTTCTGAGCAGCCGACGCTGCGGGCTCGGGTCTGTCTGCTGAGCGCTCTAGTGGGAGTGATTTACTTGATTATTTTGGAGGTGCTCTCTTTTCGTTTTTGTTTAACGAAAAATTGAGGAAACACATGAATCAAAAGTGATTAAATAGAGTTCAAAATTAAAAACTAATGCAACGGGGCAATGACTGGGTTTCCGGCTTTTGTTGTTTCCCTGTGAGAGGGTTTGGGCTGCACAGAAGCATCTGTTTTAGCGATGCGTTCAGTTGTGCAATTTGGATCAGAATGTAGATTGTCAATAAATGAAGTATTCTATTGCCTGCTAATTAGTTTTTGTTTAGATCTTCAATATAGCAGCTTTTATCATCAAGGAAAGTGAGATTTTAGTATTTAAACATAGCTGCTTTTAATTTTTTTAAATCTTTATTAAAACCTAACAGTTATTATTTCTTTGTATTTCTCTTTAACTCTAATGATGCATTTCTGTACGCACTCAAAATCTAAAACGTAACACCCTGTTAGCACCTTCCTCCCCTTTTCCTTGAGTCATCTTTCTCAGCTTTTGAATGACTTTTGAACTCGATGGGATTCTTGTCCAAATGTATCAACCCATCAGATAGATTTTTAGCTTATTTGGCAGTGGAGTTTTTATGGCATTTATTTCTCTCACTTTTTGATTTTTGTGATCTTTGAGAAAGGGGGCAAGCAACCTCGAAAAGCATCTGTTCTGTGCTAGGCAGGTTATTTCTGACAACTCCTGCCGGATTGCAGGCCTGGTCAGTGAAGTTTTTAATCCACAATATCGGTTTCAGTATGAAGTAAAATTCAAAACAGGCCTGTGAGTTAATACCAACAACTGCTTCCTGATTTTGTTCCTCCTAAAACAGGAAGGAGACGATTATGAAGTGATTCCTGACAGTAACTTTTATGTATCCAGAACGGCCTACAGAGACAATACTTCTGTGTATCACATCAGTGGGAAGAAAAAGACATTTAAGGATGTTGGAAATCTTCTTCGAAGCCATGGAATTGACTTGGATCATAATAGGTTTTTAATCTTGCAGGTAAGTTTATGAAGGACTTCTGAAGGCCTTCCTTCCCTCAGCCCTCCCAGCCTGGAAGCTTTTCCTGTTGGATGACTCTTGGGTTTTTGAGGCCTTAAAGTACTGTAGCAGCACATCATGGTTTACATAATATAGTCAATATGCGAATCATAATTTGCTGCTCTAGAAATTTAAGGAAAATCATTCAAAACTATTTATTCCAATTTGTTTTTATTTTTGATGGACTGGCATACTTGTTCCGCTGTAGCAGCACGTAAATATTGGCGTAGTGAAATAAGTATTAAACACCAATATTATTGTGCTGCTTTAGCGTGACAGGCATATAACAACCAGTTAGTCTTCTTAACACCTAAGATGGGTACTGGCTATCTAAAACTTTAATTCACTTTAGTGTTCATTTTCTTTCAAGTAGTCTAGTTTCTTGACCTACTAATGGTCAGTCAGAAGGAAACTTTCATACTATATTCTTAAGTGTGGCAATCCTTGCAGGGTAAGTTATCAAAGAAATGTAAAATTAAGTACTTGGAATTCTGTTGTTTGTTTTTTGTTTTGTTTTGTTTTGTTTTTTTGATAGGAATCCTATCGAATCCCTTCTTTTTTCTTTCCTGTGCCTTGTGTTTGAGCAGAATATATTTTATCAGACATTTTAAAGTTCCTCTTTTAGTTTGAGGGTATCTTCTGTGTCCTTTCCAGTATCACTAAGAGCATAATAATAAAACCAAAACTGTTTTGTGATGCAGAAATTCCTGCTGTTACTTTATATAGTATGTGTGCTATTGTTTAAAAATTATGTGGAACTTTTGATTGCCTACCAGTTTTGTTAGAATGACCTGAGGTCCCCAGTAACATTTATAAAATGTTAGCCCCTATTTCCATCTAGTTGTTATTTTTTAGAAATGCAACTTTGTGTTTGGTTTAATTTATGGACAGAGACTGACACAAGGTGCAGAGCTCACTGTTCAGGAGGAGTTTAGATACAGATAAGCAGGAACAGGAAGCACTGTTAAAGAGTGCTGAGTGTGTGTGGCCTAGGATTGGCTTTGGGATTGAAGCCTCGTTTGAGGCTGTAAATCAAGCAGGCTCCTCTTTTTAAGGCTTTTATCTTGAACATTTCTGGAGTTGAAGGTTTGAAAGAGTACAGCATATGTTATATAGTATTGGAATGTTACAACGGTGAATGAGTGATGGCTTAGGAAGAAATAACTCATTCACTATGTGAGAACTTTCAGAATCGGGAAAACCATGGTCTCTGAAGACCTGAGAGTAAATTACTTGAAATTGTTTACCTAAGATTCTAGGTGGTGTTTTGACATAGATATAATTCCAGTGAAGATTAACAAAGAAATAAGAGTTGATGAGACAGCAATGGATTAGCCATGGATTAAGCATCAGTTTTGTTCAAAAGGTTGAAGAACTAAGTAGATGAAGAAAAATGTACAGTGGAAGGAATTGCAACATGGGGAACTCAAAATTGTATTAGCTTTTTAAAAAAGGAAATACCAACTTTCTAATAAGTAAAAGCGACTCATATTCTAGAGTAAAATTGTATATGAATGTAGGATTAAAGATTGGTAGGGTTTTTTAATTATTTTTTTAATGGAGTTTAAATTTTACAGACTGTTTTTAGACCTGTTTTGGTGGATTGTGGATAACAGATTAATGTCCCTATATAATACTTATTTGATGACACCATTTTGTGGGAAGTTTGCTTTTGTTTACTTACTGAGTGAGTTTTACACCTATGCAAAAAGTCAGTAGAAAAGTGGGTAATATTTTAACCGTTTAGCTTTGTTACTTTATGTAATTTCTATAATAAAGGAAACTAATGTAAGGATTTGCCAAGGGTAAATGAGAATGATTCTTAAGCCTTTTGTCATGGTTGAAAATACTTCTTCCTGGGTAATGCC